GGATGTAAATTGATATAGTCTTGTCCTGCCCTCCCACTGGAAGGAATATTGGAAAGGAGAAAGAGCAAGACATCCCGAGGCGACAGTCTGTCTGGACAGCCCCATTTTTGCAATTCCCCTTGTGACCATGCCACACTCCTTACTCGCCTCCACACGTCCACCTAAACATCTCATACACACACTGAGGATGACATGCACATATACACATGCCATATACAGATACAAACATCCACACACAGGCTTACAGTGAGTGCACATACAGTACATACAATGACACCAGCAGCGTGGATGGACCAATTACAGTCAATCTGGTTTGTAAGCTGTGGTGGGTACAGTGGTGTCCAGGACTGACACATAAAAACGTGCCTCTGCCTAGAACAAAAATATACTTATACATATATAATTCACTGCAGTTTCCAGCTGAAATGAAGACTAGTGGCAGTAAAACACCAACAACGTTTATTACTTTACACATAAATTATAATTACAGGTGGGTGGATTAAGACTAATTTTCATACGGTTTACAATGGCTGACAAATATAGTATTGCTGGTCACCAGCATGGGCAGTGTTTGTTAAGACCTTTAAACACTTTACCATTAAAGGAGTAGTTCACTTTTAAAAAGACGTTTGCTGATAATTTACTCACCCCCATGTCATCCAAGATGTCCACGTCTTTCTTTCTTCAGTCGAAAAGAAATGAAGGTTTTGGATGAAAACATTCCAGGATTCTCTCCATATAATGGACTTCAATGGGAACCAAATGGTTCAAGGTCCAAATGAGAGTTTCAGTGCAGCTTTAAAGGGCTTTAAACGACACCAGATGATGAATAAGGGTCTTATCTAGGACCCTTCGAGTCATGACTCGAAAAAAGATTTGTTCATTTTGATGAACGAGTTTGAACAGGAGAGTCACGAACGCTCATCCCGGAACAGAGCAAGGCGAGCATTTGAGCTTATAAAACTTAAACTTTTTTTTTAAATGACCGATCGTTTCGCTGGATAAGACCCTTATTTATCGTCAGGTGTCGTTTAAAGCCCTTTGAACAGTTTGCACTGAAACTGTCTTTTGGACCTTGAACCGTTTGGTTCCCATTGAAGTCCATTATATGGAGAAAAATCCTGGAATGTTTTCATCAAAAACCTTCATTTCTTTTCAACTGAGGAAAGAAAGACATGGACATCTTGGTGACATGGGGGTGAGTAAATTATTTTTTTTTTAAAAGTGAACTACTCCTTCAATAATACATTTTTCACGGTCACATCACATAACCAGCTCCGTATTTTTGGATATTCTAAAATAACAAGGTATTGTTCAAGGTATTGCTCTGTAGCTTACCTGGTACACTTGTGGGTACGAGTGCTGTGAAACACGAGTCGCATTAAAAGAGCTCAATGACTTGTTGAGGCAATGTCAGGGTTTTGATTGAAAGGATGAGGCGAGGACTCAGATGTAGGAAACAAAGGGCTTTTATTTGTAATAAAAACTACGCCGTAGGGGAAAACGCCGGCAGCAGGACTGAGCTGGCAAGGATTAGCAGCACTTACTAAAAATAAGCATACTTAAAGTTCATTTGATTAAGTACTTTTGTCAAGTTCAAGTAATTTTTATCAATATTTGATAAATATTGGGGTGGCAGTGGCTTAGTGGTTCATGTAGGTTGTTTACAAACCAGAAGGTTGGTGGTTCAATCCCTGGTTCCACCTGGCCAAGTGTCGAGGTGTCCGTGAGCAAAACACCTAACCCCAGATGCTCCCGACCAGCTGGATGGCGCTTTGCATGACTGACACTGCCATCTGTGTATGAATGGGTGAATGTGAGGCAAATGTAAGGTGCTTTGGTGGCCATTAGGTCTGTGAAAGTGTTATATAAATGCAGTCCATTTGATATTTTATGTAGTAAGTATAGCCTACTAATAGCAATGTACTAAAAGTATACTTGAAAAATTACTGTTTCAATACTTTGGACTAAATTGACCCACAACTTTAAGCACACAACATGTTTACTATTTGAAGTTTTTTGTTTGTACGGCAACTATACTAAAAGTGAATTTATAAGTATACCGACAAATACTTAGTTTAGTTTGTAAAAAGTGCACTTTGAAGTGTACTCTCAGTAAACTATAGTTTAGTAGTTTTATTCTTTAAGTATACTTGAAAGTTTTCTTTAAGTTAACCCAACATCATACTTATAGTTTACTATTTATATATTATTTTTGCACTTTAAGTATACTAAGTTCCTATTTAGGTAGAAATATGGTCTCATCACTAATGTCGCATTTTTGTTGTAGAATAAAACATGAAAATATCTTTAGCTTGTGTTCATCTCAAACCTTATTTTCGGCATTTAACTAAAAAAAAAAACGTTTTTTTTTCTTCTCGTTTTTCTTTTAACCCATTGATTTAGACGATGGAACCAGAAGTGTTAAAAGGCTAACTAACTTTTGGGTTTTACCCAACAAAAATACATCAACCTTGCAGCACTCTACACTATGTGGGCGGTATATTAGGTTCAAACGTGATAGAGCATTAACCTTTTAGCACCACATTGCATTTCCACTACAACCGACGCAAGATTCACGTTTTGGAGAAAATAAAATGAGCATTTATTGCTACTCACTGGAAATTTTACTTTAAAAGTGTCGTGAAATGTGCAAGAAGCAACCAAATATAATTTTGCAAAAATTTCACCACACACACTTTGGCCTAGGCTTATGCAAGGTTTATTGGAACTCTACAACAGGGGCTGAATTTATGAATTAATTATTTATCTGATGTAGGCCTATATATCACCTGAAATTTAAAGTAACATCCATCAACTTTTAGCAAAATATGAAATTGTTGTTACAATAATACAATAATGTTATAATTATGTAAATACAATGTTTACATTTTCCCAAGAAAATGTGAGTATAGATGCACATACAAAACACCACCAAACCGCAATGATTAAAAATTACGTTCCCCAACTAAAGCCTTTGTGGATTGTGTTTGCTGTTAGGTGAGGTTGAACGTAAAAGATTGTAAACCTTGTAAGCTAAAATTCCTGCTTAATCCAGACAGTCAAAACACATGTTTACTAAGCTCTGCATATTAGTCTCTCTCTTGATCCTTCATCTCTGTACTGTGTCCAGTGACCCGAATACCCAATATTGGTCTGAAGTCTCATTTGACTACGTTATCTCACGACTAATTCGTACGAATTCGGCGAATGATTAAAAAGTGTCTAATTCGTACTAATTCGTACAACCTCACTCGCACGAATTCGTACGATTTTTCTAAACCCACGTGATGGGTAGGTTTAGGGGCGGGCCAATTCCTAAAATATGTACGATTTAGCAAAATCGTACTAATTCGTATGAGTGAGGTCGTATGAATTGTTACGAATTAGGAATTTTTTAATCATTCGTCGAATTCGTACGATTTGGTCGTGAGATCGGGTTGCAGTTGACCAGATTTTTGGTTCAAAACACATATTTGGGTGCAAACAGACATGCACTGCTTTTTCACTAAATCTTAGCACCATTTTTAGCCTATTGTACAATATGTGTACCGTTTTGCCAGTAAGTCTTCTGTTAGGTCATTGGTTACACTTATGCTTATCCATTTCCACACAAAAAAATGTCCTGCCACCTTGAGTTTTTTTTTCTTCTTCTTCCTACTTAAAATCCTACTTTTCAAACTTGTCCAAGGTTGCTTGTCCAATTTTCACAAAATTTGGTATGCATATCTAGAGATACTCCCGATAAAAAGGTCATCTAAAGATGTTAGATTTATTTAATTGTTTAGGAGATATAGTATATATTGGGGATGTTGCCCATTATGAATTGGTCATTTTTTTGGTAAACGCAATGCCAAACCTTACAAAAATAGGTACACATGATGATTATCTCTAAATGATAAGCCATTTTATTTCAATGTGATTGATAGAGGAAGGTTGTAATACATCCTTTTATATCCAGTCTCAGAGTTTGGTTGAATAGCCATTTGTTGAATAGATAGTTTGTGCCCTGAGTTTAATATAATTAGTTTGCAAAGAAATCTGTGATCTGCAAAATGCTTATAGATTAAAGAGCACCTTTACCTTTTTATATAACCTAGTAAATACTTATTTTTTTCAGCAGCCAGACATGACTGAATAAACACCAATTAAAACAGACACAATATTTAAAAATATCTCACAAATCCGATGATTTCCATGGCTATATATTTATTTATTTATTTATTGTATTTTTATTATGTGTTAATTAGTTTTCACAAGTTTAATGCTGTTAGCCTAATAGGGATTTATTCATTAAAAATCCTCTTTGATGACAAATGGATGGGTAATCTGATTATAGTGTAAATTTTATAATTGGATGGTCATATATTTAAGAAGAACATTGAACATGAACAATGTCAAATAAATAGCCTCCCTATTATTTTTGCAGTGTAGTTGTCAAAATAGTGTCTTAACTGAATGTTTGTACGATATGAGCTTGAAGCTTATAACTTGTTAAGATGTTGTTTTAAAGTAGATTCCCAACACTGTTTGAGTTTAAAACTGAACAAATCCACAAATCCCAATATAGTACAACACAACGTGATATAAAAACCCATGGTACACTGCTGGAAGTAGCTTGTTACTGGAAAAGATAGATTATTTTGAAAACTTGCTAAACTAAATGTAGTTAAGTTTGTTGCATTGCAACTTTTATTTACAACTCTTCTTCACTTTTTATTGAAGAGGAAGCCATGTCAGTCTTTCTCACTTAAAAACATTTTAATCCTTGATGAGTAGGGCATCAGTAAATGAGGCCAGCAGTTCAAACATCAATTGAACTGCAACTAAAATGACTTAAGTCTTCAGCATGAATAACCAATTAGACACGATTCAATTAACATGTGCTGCCATGTTAGCCTTTCACTGACTTTTATCAGAACATTATAAAAATCTGTTCAAGGTATTAACTTGCTAACTAGAGTGTGTTTTTCTAACTCTGTCTCTTTAATCTTTTCCAGGGTGAAAGAAAACACGCTCCAAGTCTAAAGTCCAAATGGACTTCTGAATCATCTTCCTTAAAGAACCATTATATTGGTTGAATTGTGCTACAAAAGGCAAGCGGAGGCGAGGAGAGCTTGCTGGTTGCATGATGGCTCCTGAAGGTATAGGGGAGCTTCGAGACTTACTCTTCTTTCTGCTGCTGTGCTTCACACTATTGGCTGAGCTATTGGAGATGTCTGCAGCTTCCTCACTGGGATTGGATGGTGAAGGTGACATAGTGTGCCCTTCTGTGTGTCGCTGCGACGAGGACTTTATTTACTGCAACGACCGCGGATTGAGCGCAATCCCACCTCTGCCACCATCTGCAACTGTCCTTTATCTTCAGAACAATCACATTGACAATGCAGGGCTTCCTAAGTCCTTGGAGTATCACACTACCGTGCGTGTTATATATCTCTACGATAACGAGCTCGATGACTTTCCATTGAATTTGCCACCTTCATTAAGAGAGCTCCACCTCCAGGACAACAACATTAGAGTGTTGCAAAGGGCTGCACTTGCTAGACTTCCGCTCCTTGAAAAGTTGCATTTGGACGACAACTCGGTCTCGACAGTGAGTATCGAGGACCAGGCCTTTGCGGACAACCCTAGATTACGTCTCCTCTTCCTTTCCAGAAACCACCTCTCCAGCATCCCATCTGGTCTTCCGGCCTCACTTGAAGAACTCCGTTTAGACGACAACCGAATCTCTACTATTCCCACTCATGCCTTCCGAGGTTTGTCCTCTTTACGCCGCCTGGTCTTGGACGGTAATCTTTTAGCTAATCAACGTATAGCTGATGATACCTTCTCACGTCTGGCAAACTTAACAGAACTCTCCCTGGTCCGCAATTCGCTTCAAACACCCCCACTTAACTTGCCCAGTGCCCATCTGCAGAGACTCTCCCTTCAGGACAATAACCTCATACACATGCCTCGGGGCTCTCTTGATGGAATGCGCAGACTACAACGGCTAGATCTTTCCGGAAACAATCTGACTACCCTTCCCAGAGGATTGTTCAGGGACTTGGACAACCTGGGGCAGCTGCTTGTGCGAGGAAACCCATGGCACTGTGGGTGCAACTTGCGCTGGCTGCATGACTGGCTGGAGGCAAAGGGGAACACAATTACCGTGAGAGGCTTCATCTGCCAGACACCAGAGCGAGTCCGAGACATGGCGCTTAGAGACCTCACGAATCAGATGGATGAATGTGAGTTGGCTGCTGCAGGTGGTGGGGGAGTAGGTACAGGTGTTGGCGTTGGTGGTAACAGGGCGGCGGGAGTCATTTCGACCACTCTTTCTCCCCCTCAAGGGTCCCTGTTCACTCTCAGGTCCAAGCGACCAGGACTGGGTCTTCCAGAAACAGGGTTGGACTACACATTAAGCAGCAGTGGTGTGGGCAAGAACCTAGCCCTGAATGTGAAACCCCTATCCCATGACAGCATCCGTGTTACTTGGAGTGTAGCGCAAACATCTTCTTCCTTTCGATTAAGCTGGCTTCGCCTGGGAACTAGCTCTGCCATGGGGTCCATCACAGAAACTTTGGTTAGGGGTGACCGGCGGGAGTACCTTCTCACTTCCCTGCAGCCTGCTTCCAGCTACATCATTTGCATGGTGCCTCTAGTGTCTAACAGTGGAAGCAGAAGTAGTTTGCCTGGGGGGGACACAGAATCAAATGAGGTTTCAGTTTGTGCCAGAACAGAAACGTCTGATCCCGGCCTGCCTGATGAGGAAAAAGGTGAAGAAGATGGCTCTGATCAAATGACTTCCCTGCCACTTGCAGGAATCATTGGAGGTGCCACGGCGATAGTTTCCCTCGCTCTCATCATCGCCATTTTCTGCTGGTACGGGCACCGTGCGGGGCGCCTCAAATCACGAGACCATTACAGTCATAGTGGCTCTCGCAAGAGCAAACACTATGATGACTACATTGAGTCAGGCACAAAGAAAGACAACACCATCTTAGAGATCAGAGGTCCTGGATTTCAGATGACACCAATGGCAACAAGGCAGACCCTTCAACCCAAACCAGTGCGAGAGGATTACATTATACACACAATCTTCCCTTCGAACGGCACAGGTCCATACAAGCCATCCCAAAACATGACCAACTCTGGCTATGGTACCAACCGTGGCTATAGAGAAGGAGGCATTCCAGATATAGATTACTCTTACACATGATAGCTTTGATTTAGAAACCATCATTAGGAGTCATGTATTGCATAGATACACAGTTTTTAATCAACATGGGCTCGGCTGAATCCCTTTGTGCCTTCTGGTCTCCATTACAATGTAGCCTGCTGTTCATGAGACTATAAAACTTTTAATTGGCCCAGATGCTTATAGGGAAGCATTATAAATGTGGTGCCAGGAGGCAATGATGCCATTTCAGGTGGCGATACCAAATGCTATTTTCACCTCCCGGTGTAATGATCAGTATCCCTGACATTGCTGTTTTATCTCTGGCTGGTGCACTGAGGTGGATTCAAGGGCAGCCCACACTGCATTCAGCTTACAGACTGTTTATAAAGCTAAATGCATATAAAGGCAGCCTTCTCATCGGTTGCTAAATAACCAACCTGCTATTCGTTTTAATAGTTTTCTCCTGAGATAAATGTTCCTGAGTCGAGGATTTGAGTCCTGCATAAAGCAAGATAACCTCTTTGTTCAGAGAAACTGGAAATGTGTTGTGGCAAGCGATCCCTCTGGAAAATTCATGGGCTCACATGCATATTTGTTTTTGGAGATATGAGCTGCAGAACACAACTACTATTCCTAATAAAGAAGGAGTGTCTGGACCAGGCAACGACACGACCCTGAAAAACTACAGCGAGTTTTGAAATGCCTCAAAAACTAAATTTGAAATCTTAAACACCTGAAAGCTGCCTGATGCTACTATGATAACGTCCAACAAGACTGTTTTACCTTCAGACTGGTATAAAGTTGAAAGGATGAATATGTGTCTTGAGGACTTTCAATTTTTAAGATTGCAACTGAACCCTGGTGTGTTGATAGATACAAACAACGCAAGTTAGAAATTGGACATTGTCATGACTCTGTTCCCTAGTTTGATTTTTGTGTTGTTTGTTCTTTCACATTGTTTAAGTTACATAGCCCTGCTGATATTTTCAATGTAATATTCAAAGGATTTCCTCTATAACTGAGGTCAGTCTTTTATCACTTATCCATTATTAAATCCCCCAAACAACCAATCAGAGCTAAAGCAGCCAGACAAGCTCTCCCACTATAAAATATAAACAAACTGTTTCAGTTTACACCAACATGACAGTATCACACTTATTAAAAATAGGAATATCTCTGTAAAAACTTCATGGTAACGCATAACTTGCTTGTTTTCAATAGATTGTCCCTTATAATGTTTTGCACAGAGAGGAAACCAATGTTCTGTTAAGGTGGACCAAGATTTGTAGGTTGCTTAGCCACATTCTTAGCACAAAATTGCATTCTTTAAATCGTTTATTTACATCTCCAAATGTCACTGAAGAAAAGGATATGGCCTTCTTGCTAACCACTTGCTACGAGTCTTAGGAAGAAGAGAAAGGGTGTTAGACGGAAACCAGGAATTTGAACCATAACACTGTGGACCATCACTGTGGGAGATAGAGAGTGCATCAGAATGTTGTATAATTTTGTAAGGTGGATGCATTTTGCTGAAAATTATTTTTCACTTATTTCCTTGTGTAGAAATTATCTGTTGTCAATGTCTTCTACCCATTAATTTAAGCCAACAGCAGGAGAGAATCCCACCCATCAGTCAATTTACGCAATGGTAGACGGTGAGAAAATGTGTGTATGTGTGCGTTGTATGAAAGACTTTCCCCGACTCTCTGGACATTTCTGTTCTGCTCCTCTGTATTTGTATTTATGTATTTGAGGACTTACACTGCCTTGTATTTTATGTACTGTTTGGCAATGTGATACTTGTCAAAAATAGGAAAGGAGAGAGAGAGAACGAAGTAGACTTTTCTAAACTAAAAAAGACCAAGAGATTATACAGATAAAACATGGATTTGATATTAAAGCAGGCCCCCAACCGAATTTAAGGCTGTGGTGTTGAACTGTGCATGAAATGTTGTGTCATCTTCTTGCTGTCTGCTGTTGTCCTCTGCACAAAGGACTGCTAACTTCTGTTTCAGAGATGGAAATGAATCAAGACTTCATGGCATTTCAGTACAAGTTGCCTTTTTATTAATAGGCAAGTTGAGAGAAAACTACCCACTATTGCCATTGCTTCGATAACATAGCCCGTTTTTTGTCTTTTTATTTCATTTATTTATTTTTTATCGTTTGTTTGCTTTATGTAGTTTATCAAGTTCGCTCCAAAAATGGAAATTGTCTCTTTATTTTCCAAATTCAACATTAAAAATGACAAGACTTTTGGAAGACACAAATTCGGAAAAATATTTTATCAGAATCGTGAAGCAAAATGAACTAATCATCAAGTCAAAAGGACAAAAAGACACCATAAAAGCACAAAAAAGTAGTCTGTATGACTCTATTCTCATAATATTCTCATTCATCATGATAATTCTCATACTGTATATGAAATGAATGACTCCAGATGCCATGAGTTTGTGTGTCTTGTAACCTATCAAAACTAGCTAAATTTAACTGAATGAGGGTTAGTAAATGCTTGGCTGAACTGTCTGCATTCATCTTAGGTATAATTTGCAACTGCTTTCAAGAGAATATTCACTGCATCTCAAGAGCAATTGAAACATGTTAAATAAACTGTTATTTTATTTCCCATGATTACTGTAATGCAGATTCATGCAGCCCCCACAGAGGCGATGAGATTTGAAACTCTACAGGTGTAAATGAGTTCTTGCATTCAAGTTCCACCTATAGATCATATTTTCTCTCAGCTTGCAGATGAAATGTTCAGGCGCTCATTCCCTGTATTCAGTTTCCCCTCCCTTCTTGAGAAACCTCTTTGATCTGCCGCCATTGTTTTCATTTGAATCTGCAGCATGTGCGAAGAAGGATTACAGAGTCAGTGTGTGTGTCCTAGCGTGTGTGATGATGATGTTCTTTAGGGGTTCAAAAATATGGAGGCGTACATTAAAAGTATTTTCTGTTGCAATTTTTCCTGTCTGTTTTATTCAAACCATCTGCAAATTCGGCATCTCCTGCCGACTCTGACCAGCAGTTGTTCCACCTGCACCCCATTAACGCAGATGTCTCTTTGCACACTATATACACACATGCGTACACAAACACACACACTCCTTCTGTTGTCACCCCTGAGACAGGAGCTCAGCCTGCACTGATTCTGTAAAATAACAGCAATACTTCCCCCTCACACAACCCGTTCTCACTCCCAAGGCATCAAATACTGCTGCTCGGGTTATTCATGTCACTACACAGATGATAAAGGTGTCCCCTTGTGTCTTTATAGCAACGTGGCCGTCAACCCCATTGCTTTCAGCACGAAATCTTGTGCTGGTCCGAGCACGAGTTCGGTCCCCAATGAAATGCTTCGTTATTTATATTTAATGGCGCTTTTCCACTACACAGTACCAGCTCGACTCTTTGTTTGGTTTTCCACTGTGTAAAAGTTGTACCTGCTTTCGGGTATTTTTTTTTTCTATCACCACCGGCGAGGTTCTGAGCGAGCTGAGGCGGTACTAATGCCTGGTTCAGATTACATGATTTTTTTGTCTGTTACGCAACATGACATCATGGCTTTTGCGTAAACATACGCGCCACTTTCGAGTCAAGTGGCGTGTTATCTCTACGCATTTTGAGCTATCCGCGTGTATGCGTGTATGTCTTCGCCATTAACGTCCGAGTAATTCCGCGTGTCTGTACACGCCGTCAAATGTCCGCCCGAAACGAAGCAAAATGTAGATCTACATCTGGGGAGCGATCTTTTTTTTTTTCCTAGGATGGTAAGGGAACAGTCATAAATGCCATTAACCCCAGTGACGGTTCGGTTTAGGGACGGGGTTGAGGTAAGTCATATATTTATATATACCGTAACAACATTAAGTCAACGACGTTCATAAACACACTGAAAAGCGATTATGCGTCTTGATAGCACGGCAAAAATGGAAATACGAATTGGCGTGTCATACACACGCTACTTCATGAGATCAGACTGTGTTACGATAGTCACTGTTTCAGATTACGAAAATTTGACTCCTAAAATCTTGTCGTGGACAAGACACATGTCAGACTATACGTTGCTTCCTGACCAGTCATCGCACGCCGTCTTTAACGGCGCACGTGATGTCATCGGATGTCATCGAGAAGGCGAAACTAGTAGCGAGTGACTTCTGGAAACGAACGTAAACAAACATTGGATGAAGCGGTGAGTCATGAAAAAAGAAAGAAAACCCGGTCTTTTTTAAAAAGAAAGAAAACCCGACAGTGGACCCGTTCCTGGATTGCTCGGCATTGCCTTTTCAGCGTGAGAAATTCAAGGTGTGGCGTGTGAGCGTGTGAACTGGTTGAATTGCGTGTGTCTCACGGCCATTGTGAGAGACTTGAGAACCCTGCTCGAAGAGGATAGTATGGGCTGTCAATCCTCCAAAGAGAACTTGAGGTAAAATATTGTTTTCTTATATATTTTTACTTTTAGTTTTAACGTTAGCATTGTCTCTCTTTCGTTTCACCATTTTTGAAAGTTGTGTACGGAAAAGCTTCTGTGCTCCTATTGGTCAACCTCATACGAGTGACGGAACCGTTGTGGACGACCGTTAAAAAATTAAACATGCTTGTCTTTTTGTCGTGAAGCATCGCAGATGTGACGTAGGTCGTCGCCCACTATGACACACTATACGAGATGATACGATCGAATCTTGCGTCCCGACGCCCGTTGTCATTTACGAATCCCCACGACACCCTACGTCAAACGGATCGTGCCACAATCGGGTTAAAATCGTGTAATCTGAACCAGGCATAAAATGTGACGTGAAAACAATAACGACTGGTGATTGGTTAGAGAGAATCGTCACCATTCAATGCGAAAGATGGAGTATCCAGAATAACCCCGCCATTTTTAAATAGTTTTGCCAGAGATAGTTACTAAACTTACTACTATTATTAAGGCAACTGGTCAAACGAGGAGGTCCAGACTTTCCTTTTTTTGGTAGCCGAAGAGAGGATCCAGCGAGAGCTTGATGGGGCAACGAGGAATGGAAGGCGTCGCTATGACGACCGGGTGCTATTTGTGGCGTCACTGTCTGCAATGGAAAACGGAGCGAAAAGCGAGCCGAGTCGAGTCGAGCTGGTACTGATAATGGAAAAGCACCATTAGAATTATTCTGCACGACTGCCGAAAGGGAATTAGTTTGCAATAAATTGCGATTTGAACTTTGGGTCTTTCACGACCCACATCTATATCTAACACGGATTGATCTCTAACTGCAGCAAAAATATAAAATGCTGATATTTTAATGACAATTGCAAAATAATCAAATAACTTACTTATAATCAAATAACTTACTTACTTAATTTACCCTTTACCTTTTGGAACATGAAAGTTATTATTATTATTTTTTTTTTTTACCATCATCACTGCCATCGTTAGAGCTCATTGTATTTCGCATCTGGCTCAAGTTCACTATCTCAACATTCTCAAAACTATTGTTCATCTTCAAATGAATACTTTGATTGCTGACAGCTTCTTCACCAGATCACACACTAATATTTGATCCCATAAAACTTGCCCTGCAGGAAATCGCTAACCAATTTCAAGTTTTCCTGATGATACTTGTGTATTCTCTTGTTTTCTTTTGTCATCATTGTGTATCAGACATCGCCACTTTGAGGTATAAAATAAACACTTACTGAGTCATCAGAAATTCAACTATTGTTGGTTTAGAAAAACTATCCTTAATACTATTATGGCTCGTTTCCACTGAGTGGTACGGTACGGTACAGTTCGGTTCGGTACGCAATTATTTGCGTTTCCACTGTCAAAAGTTGTGAATGGTACCAAAAAGCCGAACCGTACCGTACCACTTTTTGGGTACCCTTCCGTTGGGGGTACCTAGCACAGTGAAAGGGTACTAAAAGGTGGAGCTAGACTCACTGCAGAACGCTGATTGGTGGAAAGAGTATCTTCACTCGCGTGTGCTACAAGGGCATTAGAAAATGACGTCGATCGCTTCTTTCCAGCATACCACGCCTATCAAGTAAGGGTACTGTTGGCGGTGGAAACGCAAGCCTGATCATGGTGTACCCGACCCGAACCGTACCCCTCAGTGGAAACGAGCCATTAGTTATCTCGTGTTGCTAGCGACCTTATGTAACGGAGGCCAGCTAGTAGTTGCTATGTCTGTCTAGCAACAGACACTAGAGGCTGCAGTCTTTAGCCTCCTTGTTAGAGCGCCTGACTCTCATGCCAGAGACCCGGGTTCGAGGCCCGCTCGGAGTTGGACCCGGGTGGAGGGCTTACATTGGTGCCGTGACCCGGATGAGAGTGAGGTTTAGGGGCGTGAGTGTAATGGAGGCCAGCTAGTAGTTGCTGTGCAAGTAAACCTCACTCCTCTGATCTCAATAGGTGCTCTAGCGACAGACGCTGGACGTTGCAGTCTTTAGCCTCCTTGTTAGAGCGCCTGACTCTCATGCCGGAGACCCGGGTTCGAGGCCCTCAGAGTGGGTCGAGTTGGACCCGGGTGGAGGGGTTACATTTATACACTTCTGACAAAAGATTAATTAGAAAACAGACATTCTTTTATAATTTTTCTTCTTGTTATATTGTTCATAATGACCCATTTTGGCCTATTCCCCTATTTCTAACCCTATTCTAAAGAGTCCATTTCTGCTGAATGCATGGCAAAAAAATAAAAAATAAAATATATATATATATATATATAGACGGTTTCATCAGACGCGTTGCCATGGTGATGAGCTGGCCCAAAGTTAACTTCCGTTCTGTTCGTTTATTAGTGTTTACTGGATAATATGGCATTGACTACAAATGCAGTGAAATTTAAGGTGATGAGCAGGTTATTGAGCTGTGGGGTGCAACCTGACCTAGGGAGCAAATGCAATTTTTAAAAATAAAAATGTCAAGGTTTCCTATGAGG